AAAACAGACAGACGTACTCCAGCATCCCCTTAAGAGGATCCTTCAGCCGTCTGCATTACCGACAGAATTACATTTTTGTAGTTATAACCTTTCGTCGTATTAAATTCATAAAATCAAAAATACTTGCGTACAATTACAGTATATGCATTAATGATCCAAGGAATCTCCGATTTTATACAAAACGTGAGTAAAAATTTCAAAATTCGTATATTGATTAGTTATATCCTTGCAGACGAACTGTCACCTCGTCATAACTTATGCTTCGTATAAAAGTTTTACAACTTGTACTCACATGAAAGTGAGTTTCCTGGGATTGGATTACATGTAAAATTACTGTAAAACCCTCCAAATTGGGATTAGAGGTTTTAAATAAGAATATAGTTTGTATGAAACTTTCGCGATTATGTATGGGTGTGATGTATTGTAGATGTGTGTCCGTGTGGTTATGTAGGCTGCGTTTCGTGTTTAGATGGCGCACACCATCAGAGGTGAGAGATCCTCTTAAATGAGCGAAAAGATCCGAATTCAAATCCAATCACGGGCTCCGCTGGTTTTTTCAGACGCCACCTCTCGGAAGGAAATGACAACCACCGAGACTATCCTGTCACGCACACCCTTATAGGGATATAGCTCTCCAGCGAGTAGAGGTTCCCCTCGGCAAGGTTAGCAGCCTACCAAAGATGAAGTCAAAATGCAAATGCTCAAAGTACCAGAACGAAATAGATAAACAGGTTTTACGCCTAATACACGAAGAAGAAGAAGAACAAGATTACACGATCTAAGAACGAATTTTCCACTAAACAGATTTTACTCCAAGGACAATAAATTCATGATGGAACCAACGGATGATGCCTATTAATTATAGGAGAAACCCCACTATCATATTAGGAGCCTATCTCATAATAGGGGACTTTTCTATAATATTTAGAGACTCTGTTGTAACCATAGTATAGCTAGTAGGTCCACACGGTCATTTGTTTCGTTTTGCGCCAATCTCCCCTTGCGAAAATATGTCTCAGAAAACCTTGAAATTTTACTTTAGAAAAATAAGAAATATGAAAAGTAAATTTGGACACTTTAAACTTTTATTCAAGGTAAACTTACAATTTACTTTAAGAGTTTAAAAGAAAACTTTAAAAATTGTGAAAAGTATGTGATGTAATTTATGAAACCGCGTGCGGTTTTCTTCTTACGAGAAAGTGATATGCTACGCGGCCCTCTAGTGGGAACTTGGACAGACTGGACTATCTGAAAATTAATTTAAGTATCCAAAATTACTCATAAATTTCTTAAGTAACTTTTAACTTCTTTAAGTGAACTCTTAGATTTGAAAGAGTACTTTTAAAAACTTTAATTCCATTTAAAGTAAATTTTTCCACGGATCTCCGGCGCCCCCGACATGTTTGTTGGTCCAGCCAATGAGAGAAAAGTTGTATGTGTGGTCGTGCAGCAAAGCTACACTACCACATATCAATTACAGTACGTACACACACATACGCCGTTGGATTTGGACCAAAGCATCGCGGAATACCACGTGATCGGGATCGAAAGGCTCAAAGGGCCGACAGCGAGTGGACCTACCAGTTATACTATAGTTGTAACATTACATCTTACTCCAGCTAACGTGAAATATTCTAGTAACATTGAAGCAACATTGTAACGTTTCAGTTATAATGTATTATTGTGGGAATATTTCGTATTAACTGAGTTGAGTTAATTTAATTGATGCTACTCACCGCACTCGCAACATACGTAACGGCCGGTCTTGGAGGTCTCGGGCGCCTCGATAGGCTCGGCTTCCTGGTTCTTTTGCGCGGCGGGCGTCCTCTTGTTTTTTGACCTACCGTCGGAGACGAGCAACGTGTCATATGTGTAACTGGCTGGTTTCACTCCCTCCGCCTGTTCCGTGATGGTTTGTACCTCCTTGTCTTTTTGTGTCGGCTGCGAGTTCGGGTTACTATTCTCGATATCGCTGCTGCATTCAGAGGTCGGCGGCGTCAGCGGCGGCGTCGCTTCAATCTGTTGCTGCTGTTGCAACGATTGTTGCTGATGCTGCGGTTGCTGCTGCTGCTGTTGCTGCTGTTGTGGTAGCAACTGATCCTGCGGTTGTTGAGCGACGATTGACGTGCACGGTACGGTGGACGTACTATACGTCAGCAGGATCTCCTGCACCGGTGACAGAGGTATGAAAACGCTGCCCGAGGATGGTACGATGGTCGCGCTGGATTCGTAAATGATGCCAGCCGCGGGCTGTTGCTGCTGTTGCTGTTGATGATGGCTGTAAATGGTTGAACCAGCCAGGTCGATCGTGTTCACTTGATAGATCGGTTGCTCCGCCGGCTGATAGACCGTCATCTCCTGAACGTCACTTGCTGGCGCCTCGATAACGCTCTGAGGACCGATCGCGACACTCGGCGGCGGCAACGGAGGAAGCGATCGGGAGAGCTCTAGGAGGTCGTGCGCCGCCTCAGTCTCCGCCGCGGAGCGATCTTTGAACATGGACGACACATGGCCGGACATGGACATGCCGCAGGACGTGGCAACCAAGCGTATCCTAGAATCGGGCGGTGCTGAGTGCTCCGGAGTATCCTCCAGGTGATAGGATGTCGACGTGCTGGATGGTGGAGACGGTTCTTTGGTAGGTGGTGGATGGTGCAGCGTCGCGATAGACGTCGCCGTGGTCTCCTCGGGTCTCACGGGAGTCGTTTGCACGTCCGACGGAGGTAAAGACGTCACTGTCGTCGTTGTAGTCTCCTCGACCGGAGAGACGATCGTTTCCACCGGAGACAGAGTCGTCAGAGACGTCGTGGTGGTGCATGCGATCACGGCTGTCTCCATTCGCGTCGTCGTCGAATAGTCCGTCGCGGGCGTCGTCGTGATGACGGACGACGATGCCGTTATCGTCGCCGTTGTCACGACGGCCGTGTCTGCGTCGCTCGGCTGCTCCTTCGGGGGCTCTGCATCGGCCACGGCGGGAGTCGCGATGGCCGTTGCGTCTTTCGGTTGCACGTCGCGACATTCTGGTGGGATTATAAAGATCAAGCTTCACTTGGCGTACGCGATAATTTCGATCAGACAACGTTCACGGCAGACACGGCAGAATAAAAAGAATGTATGCCAATTTACTATGTATACCTACGTAAGCTCGTGTTATTGCAAAAGTGTCTTTACTGGCATATATACCGCAGCAACACGTGAACGCGTTCTCTTACTTTCATTTGACTTTTTAATCGAGATTTAACGACGCCACGGGCTTTTAAATGGGATACCAAAGAAGGGTATCCGATTCTCGTTACCGGCGTGATAGCAAAGAGTGTCGAACCTTGATGGTGGTAGGAGGAAGTGCAGCGATAAACGGATGATAGAGGGGTGGGAGGAAGATGTGGGCTGCATAGTACGGATTGTGGAGGTAGGGGTAGCGGGATTATGACGGCAAATATGTTAGAAACGAGGTCAAAGGGGATGAGAGTAGAGAACCAAGAAAGTCTCCTAGACTAAGCGGATATAAAATTTCACGATAACTCGGTTATGAAAGCGCACGTTTCGTTTTAAAAGCGACCGACTTCTCTTACGCCGCCAGGCCGATCCGTTTTAATATTTCTGCGTCGTTGTTTCTGTACATTTCGCAGGCAGAATGAATTTTTACTGTGATCACGAAGAGTCTCGCTACTCGCGAAAGGATCGGCGGCTATAAATATCACGCGCGAATGCAGGCGTCCTACCTTTCGCGCTGTGTTACTTTTATTCGCGCGTGTAAAACAAGTTGTAGCAACTTCGGATACGTGCAAAATTTTGGACGTCGTTCCGCGATTGCAAAAATGTATTGCGTATATACACGTACGTACGAGATATTTATTAAGGAAATCCTAAAGCCGTCTGTTTTATCGACATTCTTTGTTAGAAATAATCTTTTAATTGGGTTTATAGAAATGCAAAATTCTTTTACGGAATTAAAGTACACAGCAAAATCTAGATTATGCTGGTCGACTTTATATCAAAAAAGAAAAAAAATTACTAATTTTTTGTACACTTAACGACAATATTTGCTTGATACAAGAATTTTACAATAAATATATACAACTTGAGACCAGCATACTCTAGGGACAACATAAGAGCAATATCGTGCAATTAGAACTAAGATTAATAGTTGAGACGGGAAACTTATAGTCAACCCAACTAGCTAGTTATTTAATTAGTTTATTAAACAACGTTTCGACCCTATTCTTTTGGGTCCTTTTCAAGTGATACTGCAAACCAACAACAACAACGCAGTTATGAAATAATGTAGGTTAATAAGTAAAAAGGATTTAGTTAAAAAGTTAAAAGTTAAGTAACGCACCGAAGTCAGCCATCGTCGTCGAATAAAACAGAGTCGAGTTATAAAATATATGTTTAGTGGTAGCTGGGCTCGAACTAATTTGTTAGTCATGTTTTAAGAACAATACAAGGTGATATTGTGAACTGTACAGTTTTGATTACACAGTCGTATATTACATTTAAGTTTTCGGTGTCTGTTTGTAAATTTAGCGTGTTATCGGTCTTGTTGATAAAAAACATTTCGACGATTTCTCTTTTTCTCCTAAGGCGCTCGCTACGTAAAATTCTTGATTCCGACCAATTGAACTCGTGTTCATGTGATGCACGGTGTTTGCTGACCACGGAGTGGTAGCTTTCGTCTTTATTATGTCAATTTATGTTCTTTAATTCTGATCAGAAGGTGTCGTTTGGTTTGTCCAATGTAAAAGGCTTCACAGTCGTTGCAATTAATACGATAGATGACTTCAGTTTTTTGTCCCAATTTAACTGGTCTTTACCTCTTTTAATAATTTTATCTAATTTTTTGGGGACAGTATAGATGATGTTTAGACCTGTTTTTTTTTCAAATTTGTGCTAATTTTATCTGTCAATTCTTTAATATAGGGATGGATAATGATTTTTTTAGAGTAAAAACTTTTTTTATTAGCGGTCGCGCAGTCAGTATGAGTGGTATCCCGTCTCTTCGTCAGTTCGTTAAGTCTAGTGTTTACGTGTTTGTTAATAATTTTGTTAGGAAAGGAGTTATTGATTAAAATTTTCTTAACAAGATCGATATTCTGTTTCCAGTATTTTTGTCAGAGAGTAAAATCGCGTGGTCAACTAGGCTAATAATGGTGTTAATTTTATATTTAAGGGGGTGGCTAGGGTAGTAATTAACGTATCGTCCAGAGAAAGTAGGTTTTTGGTACCATTTAGTCAAGATCTTTTTATTGTCGTCTTTAATAAGTGTCACGTCGAGAAACGGGATGGAGTTGTGTGATTCAGTTTCATGAGTGAATCTCAATCGTGGAAGGTAATTATTAAATATAGAGAGAACAAAGTCAATCTTTGTCTTAGGTAAAACCGTGAGAATGTCATCTACGTATCTATAAAATATGGGAACATCAAATCCTAGTTTCTGCAGACTGTTTCCAAGTCTTCCATGACCATGTCTGCCAGTATAGGTGACAAAAAAGACCCCATGGGGCTTCCGAAGATCTGCCCATAGAACTGTCCGTCGAACTTAAAACTAGTGGAGTTTAGAATTAATTCTATAGCATGTAAGAACTGTGGTAAGCTAAGTAATGTATTGGCTGAAATGTCACTCCAACGTTTTTTAATAGCTCCAATCACAAGTTCTTTCGGGATGTTAGTGAAGAGTGAAGTGACGTACAGTGATACAAGCAGATCTCCGGAAGGAACGCAGATATCTTTGACTGCAGTCACCTGCTAGTTAGAGCCCAGCTGCCACAGTGCTCACACGTA